GGGTACCTGCATGTAATTACCCTATTGAGAAACAATTTCAAAATGCATACAAACTGCAAATTTTACAGAGTTTCAAGAAGACATTGCAAGAAAATTTATTGTGATTATCTTTCCTGTAAAAGTGTGATTCGTGAGAGGTATCAAGTTTTAGAAGATGTTTGGTTTGGAGATAGTATTGGCATGTTCACTTTGTGGTATACTTTGAAGAAAATTCATGTGATATTCATTTAATTGTCATTTGTTTGAGTTCAGGGATTTTATGCAAACATGCAATTATTGTATTAATTCAAAAGGGTTTTTCACATGTCCTGATAAGTACATTTACGCTTGGAGGAAAAATTAAACATATCCATATGAAAATTAAGGTATTATAATATACCATTTTGATAAGTTGTCTAATATAATGCTGACAGTAGCCGATATGACATCAAACAATGAGGAATACTATAATAGTTGATGGATTTATGATTGCAATAGAAAAAAGTTGGAGCAAAAGGAAAGTGGAGGCTTGTAGAAAAGTAAACATCTCTTCCATAACTAGTTTGAGTAGTAAAGATGGCGACAATCCTCTCAAAGTGGGGAATAGTCTAATTATTAGTCCATAGGCATTTCGTAGCAAAGGTCGTCCTCCATGCTGAAGAAAGCAATCGAAGGTTGAAGAAATTGTACGTAGGGGTAAAAATAAAAAATTACGAAAACAGAATTGTTATGAGTTATACCTTATTCTTACATGATATCTGTTTTTGAAACATATTTACTTATTTGTAGTTTATAATAATATCGACTTGATTATTATATGTTATGCTACTTTTTAGGGAAAGAATTATCAGTAGAGTGAGAAAATGACAGTTTCTTTCGTCTACTTTCGTCCGATGCCTAACATGATTAACGTCTACATTGTTGAAAGTATACCGAAACTCAAGTGTTGTCAAATGTGTTTGTGCTACCTAGGTATGCGTTATGTTGTTGTTATATTAACTATTAAGTTTTCTATAATGTGTGCCAAATTATGTTTGTTAAACATTGACAATGTCCATTGGTCTGATTCAAAATCTCGCAGGAAAGTATTTATGTACTGGCAAGAATCTGTAATGAGAACATGTTTCGTTGGGAGAGATTTGATGTTGTTGACAAGTTGAAGCTATAAAATTGTATTTGGTAGAAATTATCGTGTTTTGGTTTAATTTTTTACGAATGCAGTTAAGTTGTATGCTAATTCAGTTGTTTTGTTTTTATTGTTTGGTCGTTGTTGGGTATGAGTAGGTGTCTACTATAGGGTTGTGAATTCATAATAAAACGTAATGTAACTTATTCTGAACGTTTTCAGTATATATTACCGTCACATTGCAGATTGTTTGTTAACTAGTTGATAAAAATTTTGGATATGCAATTCATTTGAGATTTGAATTTTGATGTCTTTTGGTATTTCTAATATTAATATCCATATGCATTTAAAAGAGTAGTTGAGATCTGTATATACAGTAATTAAAGTATCTCTTCATTGTGGAATTGCTAGCAACCTAGTGAAACTTGTCATAATGAAAAAATCCTTGGAGAAGTTCAGATATCGAGAACATATTGTGAAACCAATCTTTATCAATAACATATTTATAACAAAAGGCAAATATAATCTTCGTACATAAAGTTTAGTATTGCACCCACACATAATGCAATTAACATTCAAATTAACTCAAGCTGTATCCAGGCTAAACAAATTAACATACTATTACAGTAAAACTAGCTATACATCATAGTGTAGAGGTGGAGGTTGATTGGAGGAGGAAAGGCTGTTGAGAAGTTCTTCATCATGGTGAAAATTTCTGTCATGCTTGTCTCCAAGTATGTCACCGTTTCTTCTATTCTTGATGCGAACGAGTTGAAATTACTTTGCAAATGATCCTGTTGTTCTTGCATTTTCCTCTCATACGTGAAAAACTCTCCTTGAAATCTTTCGATCCGCTCAAATCTGCTTACTATTTCGTTTAAAGTTAGAAAACATTCTTGTACATTTTGAGAGATTCAGGTTCAATACTCGTTCTTCTTCTTTGTGCACAAAACTCGTCCTTGATTTACCCCTTCTGAACAGGGAACCTTCCTGAACCGTTGCATCTTCCTCCATTTCATCCCTAATCACAAACCATTCTCCTGCCATATTCTTTCTATCAAACCCATTTTACACAATGTGACATCTCCCAATAATTATTTGCAGAAAACTTAATCTTATTTGCTTCATCATTAGGGGTGATATGAAAATCCAACTTCTCACATATTAACGTAACAAGCATCCCCAATATATTTCTCTTTTTTCTGCTTGAATCTTTCTCAACTTCTTAATTAATAACTTTGCTGAATTACTTGCCTCCCTACTATTGCTGCTTCCATGAACAATAAATCTTTAATCGTCACATTTCCATTTGTCTATTTCCTGCCATTAAATGTGAAAGTCATAAATATGTGAAATACTCTCATAAGGATCTACATTTACACCTATGTGGATGGTAAATCTCTATTCCAGAAACATTCGTCCAAGCTTGTTTGGAATCCACGTTCTGGATACATTATCCAAACCTTCAAAATCAAATCTATCCAGGTCGCTACCTCTTGCACTCACTACAAGTTATGATTCATTAATCTAAAAAACATTGTATAGGTCGGAAAATCCAGAATCCGTCTCCACAACTTCCAAACTACTAAAAAACTCATAAGATCAAATGCTTATATCCTCATATCTAACACTCACCAACTGTTCCCATTTCAAATTATGGATCCAACCATTAATTTCATCAAATAAACCCAAATTTGTCATAAATCCTAAATCCAAACTTCTTCCAAGGCAATACTCTTTTCGCCATCTCCTTGTATTGCTTTTATGTTGCAAGTCTCGAAATTGGCCTCCAGATGACGATGTGCCTCCAAGGAAGGGTTGTATTTTTTGCTCTTACCATTTTTTGCTTTCTTCTAAAACCTGTATATATAAAAAATTTATCATCATTCAGGGTGTACAACCACATGAAAACAAATCAGTGCATACAACACAAATCAGAGAATATAATAGAAAAACAACATGTACAAGAGCATGGACTATGTTAAGTGCCCTAATTCATAAACATACCTACAACAGGAGGAAACATAAAACTAACTGGTGAGGAAATTGTAATCAAGTGATACGTAGAAATGAACTTGAACTAGTTGGAAAAAAAAAAAAAAAAAAAAAAAAAAAAAATATATGTCAAATATTCATTTACTTTTAGTCTATAAATATGAGTGTTTAAATCCAATACTACAACATATGAAAGTCGTATCAAATTCAATTTCTATTAATGTAGGCAAAATTTTCAAAAATTAATGACTTTGAAAACAAGGCTTCATTAAGATTTGAACATTTCTGTCAATCTTGGAATTTGTTATGACAGAGCATCATATACGTCACTTGCAACTTAGTTAAGTGTTTTGGTGGTTTGATATGCTAAATTTGTGGCTGATGAGATCAAATCGTAAGCAAGTGAAGTTCTAATCAAGTACTAATTATCCCATTTAACCCCTTGAGGTTTTCTTTTATTTTCACTTGTGTTGAATTGGGTACCCAAATATGTATATATATAAACAAACTAGTTTACTTTCATAATAGATTTAAGCAAATCCCACCTAATCAATTATCAGATTTGCATTCGGATCTCACTCATATTCTAGTAGAATCCACCAAACAAGTGTTTGAAAGTAACATACAAATTAACATTTGAAACTAACATGAATTCATCTACCCACCTTATAGCTCAATCAAGTGAAATCATTAATTAAAACCAATAAAATCACAAAAATTCACATGATGAACAAAAACAAAATAAACACAATAACATATGAGAAGAACGACTGATGGCTTCAATGAAGAAGAAGAACGACAGATGAGGAACGAAGACGAAGAAGTGAAGAACGACAGATGAGGAACAAAGACGAAGAGGTGAAGAACGACAGATGTGGTTATTTTCCGATGAAGAACTGGGAGTTGGATGTAGCTTTTTTCTTTCAATACTCCCAAGAAAATGGACGAACGTCCATTTATTTATCGCTCATTTTGTTTTTAAAACTTTTTTTGGGATCGCAAATTTTTAAACCCTAAGAATTAAAATTTAAAAAATAAATAAATAAAGTTATTTATCTCGCTGTTCAATGGACGATCGTCTATCTGATACAAACAATCGTCCATTAAAAATGGCTGCCCGTCCATTCTTATTCTTTTAAAAAATCATTCCTCCTCATTTTAAAAATACTGCAAGTCATTATGGATAGGCGTCCACCTTGGGAAATGGACTCCCGAGTCCCGTCCACATAATATGGATGGGAATCCATTGTTATTTTCGTTCAAAATTTCGTCTAGATTGGTGGACGGCCGTCCATTTGTTATACACAACCATCCATCAAATATGGACGAGCGTCCATAATTGTTGGACGGTCATTCATTCACAGAAGATGTGTTCTAATATCCAACGTGGCCGCGTTTGACTCGGATGCCACGTAAATCAGTACAACAATTTGGTGAGATTAATCGATGTCCGTAGCATTATTGAATTTAATAACATGGAGAACAAGAATTTGAGCATCGCACTGTCTTGATTTTTTAAAAGAAAAAATCTGATTCCATTGGCAGTTAAGAATATCTGAATCAAAGACCAAACTGACCAACCCCAAAGTGCAAGTTTCATTATAAAGCAACCGAGGCCAGTTGACACAAGAAGACCACAAATCTCACTTGACAAAATATCAGTTACAAAATCAACATCTAATCCAACTCAACTTTACCTGGGACAATATGAATAATGAAATGTCAAACCAAAATAATCCGTTTTTACAATCAACGAAGACAAGAATGCCCTTTTCTTTCTCCATTGAAGTCATTGCATCATCTTGAAAATGGTAATAGTTTTGAGATACAGAATAGGATGTTTCTACAAAACCAGATAACAAATTTATCTAACTCTGAAAACACTAGAACAAAACTGATATATTCAGGAAGTGTTATTTATTCATATCCACTAACTTAAATCCTACAATAGGTACAACAAATATACCTAAAAAATAATTCTCTAGTAAGGAGGTCCTTACTCCTAACTAGAGCATTATTGATACCTAAATATTCTTGAATATTTTCATTTAAAAACAGTACTTTGTTTCTGCATAAAATCAAAACAATAGCAGAAAGAAGGCTTCTTGTTCACTTCTCAAGTTTGAATGGCCACACTCATGTTGAGCTCTTATTTGATAAGTAAAGCTTAGCTTCTTCTTTCCATGCAGACTCTGTTCCTAACACACAAAGTGGAAGTTGATAAAAAATTTCTACAACATGAGACTCAAATTCACATATAATCCAGTAGTTAAAGACAATCGATTTTAGTTTGAGCTAAAAAGTCTTGATAGATAGCATAAACACATACAACATTTCGAAGATTGAGCCGAGCCTGCAAAATGCTTGAAGTATGCCTCACCAAGAATGTGACCCAACTTCACCTGTGCTCCTGTAGTCAGGTGAAGGTGATCTTCTTTGAGCTCCAATCCCCTGGCATCAACACACACAACATTTGGAAGATTTATCCCCATTTGTGCTTCCCTAATTTTCTTCATGTACCTTTTATCCCCTGATGCTATTGCCACCTGCACAAAAATTTGAAACTTTTTCATTCATAATGCAAAATAGCCTTACAAAAACAATGCAATTTGAAAACTTTACATATAATCTAAATGCAACCTGAATTATTGGAAGTGAAGGCAAACCCAGATCTTCCCTCACATTATGAATCAACGTCTCCATGTTCCTCTGGTACGCATCAGCATCATGCTGAGTTGACGTGTCACTTTCTCCTTGGTACCACAACAAACACTTGATTTCTCCACCGCTCTTTAGACTCTCTTTACTCCTAGTCACCATGTTCTCGTACAATTTCTCCCCACGCGCCCACTCTCTGATTGCGGTTCCCCCCACCGCACACGGCACCAACCCCACCACGTTCTCTCCGCCCACGCGCTCTCTCACCACATTGGCGAAAGACATCCCCGGTCCAACCCCACACACTTTCTTAGTGTCGATGTCGGCGTGGAGTGGCTCGCGCGCCAGCTCCCAATGGAGCTTGGCGCTGAGACGGAGGATGGAGGGGTGAGATTGGCAGTCGGATGGGACCACTCCATCCCAGTGTTGGTGTTTGGACACACCACCTCGGCCTGCCATGTTACTCTGCCCGGACAGGATGAAGATCTGAGTTGGGTTTGGAATGTCAGCAATCTGGTCCGGAATGGTAGAGTCCATTGTTGTGAAGTGAAGAGATGGTTGACCTTGACGAGGTTTAACGAATTTCTTTAATGGCGAATCGAATTCCAATTGCAGAACAAGGAAATGATGGTGAAGATGGGAGCAGTGGTTGACTGAAGGTAGAGTCCATGGATTGGTACTGTATACAAAACTAATTACATTTACTGAATTTGGGCCCATCTCTAAAGGCCATTAAAGTCCAAATTGAAGTTAGGGTTTGTTTGGTTTGTGAAATAGTATGGAAAGGACTGCGATTGGGATTGGGAGTGCGAATCGACAAGGGAAAAGGAATAATTAGGTTTTTGTCAAACCCAAACTAAATCAAATAATCTGCATTGAGTGTTCTGAAACCTGTCTGGGGTGTCACTCGGCCAAGGGTCGGGTCTTGGGTTGACCGATTAAACTGATTGTCTAACCGGTAATCCAACAAGTTTAAAATCTAGCAAACACATCCCTGATAAATACCACCAGTAGGCTTGAAATCCAACAAATGCACCCCATGTGACAGTTATGTTTCACTTTTTCCGGCCAAATTTTGGCTGATTTTAGCAGCTAAAATTCAATTTGATACCACCACCTGAACCAATGACCTCCATTTTATAAAACCATTCTAACCTCAGCACTTGGTGGTCCCATGTTCATCGATCGTGACTTGCGTATACTGTCACGATTGGATTGAAACAGTAGAAAGTGGTAACCCGGCTCGGAGAAGGCCCAAGTCCCAGCCAGTCCAACTTGTTAAAACTATTGGGTCGAGCCAAGTTTAAGAACAAAGCTGAATTCTATAAAAATTGACCTAAACCAACGAATATAACCAATTGATATTTAATTGCGAACATTTAAGGTTTGATTGTTCATATATTTTCATGAATTTTAATAGAGTTTCTTCAAGTACAAAAGCACGCATGGTATCCCACTTGTTTAAATGTTACTAATTGTTTTCATTATGAAAATGTTTGGAAATCGCATGCAACATGTTATCATAAACCACCAGTGAGTTTATTAACTCCAACCCAGTGAGTTTATTAACTCCACGTGTCTGATATTCACATGAAAATATCATTTGGCAATAGACTCTTCAACTGCCTCACCCAATGATGAAGAGCAAACAACCTTTTCCCACCCAAGTAATGGTTTAATGACACTTTACCACCCACAAAATTTTAAAATACCACTTTACAACCCAAATTTATATTTCGTTTCCAATTCTCACACCATCACCATTTTCTTCCCCGATCATCATTCACCAAACCTCTAAAACTCTACTCCCATTGGACATGCCAATCACTGACAATTGAGCAATTAAGGTTTATGTAGCCACTTTTTCTAAGTCAAATTCCGATCAATCCTAACCACCAAAATCCAACCTTTCACTCTTCAAAAGCCTCAATAATTTAGACCGAATTTGTTCTTTATTCACTGTTAGAATATAAATTTGGATAATAAAATAGTATTTTAAAAATATATGAGTAGAAAAGTGTCATTAAGCTATTATTTAGATGGAAAAAAGTCGTTAACTCCAATAATAAAACTATAAAGCTATTATTTAGATGGAGAAAAGTCGTTAACTCTAATAATAAACTATAAATCAATTATCATCCACCGACCTAGCCTGATATATTTGCAGAAGCTAAACCAAATCCACCCTCCAACATTCTAGAAAAGAATAATCCAATAAGAAATAAACCAAACAAAATATGTTAGAAATACCTAACTCAATATTGAGTCAGCAGGGCTAACCTGCAAATTGTTAATTAGCCATATACTTTATGGCATTTTCATATAATTTCTTGACTTGTTCCATGGATGGATCTTATTGTTGAAGCAGATAATTAATATCTAAATTAAGAATAAATTTTAGTCATAATAACATTTCATTAATTAATTAGAGTCAAACATACAGACATACATCACTTTTCTCTTATCAACAATATTCCTAGCTTCTGCTCTTTATGCAACATTCAAGTCAACAAAACAACCGTAGAAAAACACTTTAATCCAACAAAAAACACTTTTGTAGGACCCAAACACATCACTACCCTCAACAATTACTTGGAATCTTTTCCAGGATTTGTAGCGCTTCTTTCATTGAAGGTCTCTTTTGTGGTGCAAAAGAAGCACAATTAAACCCAAGCTTCAGGCATGCCAGCATGGCATCTTCCCAGCTTGCCACATCACCCCTAATCGTCACGTCCACCAGCCTCAATATCCTATTTTTCTCCTCCGAAACTGAGCTGGCAGTGCAATATTGTCCTAACTCCGGCTCTGATAACACCCTCCCAGTTAGAAGCTCAAGTAAAACAATCCCAAATGAAAAGACATCCCATTTAGGGTTCGGCTTGAGGTTCTTTAGGGACTCGGGCGCTTGATACGGTGACGTAGAACTCCCGGAGGGGCCTGCAGGTGCGTAAGGACTAGAAGTGGTAGGGTGGTGGTCGTATGCGGCTGTTAGTGTTGATCTTTGGCTGCCGAAAAGGAGGGATGAATTGCTGGATTTGGAACTTGTTCTGCTTGGAGAAAGGAGGCGATCGAGACCTAAATCACTTATTAGTGGTTCCATGTTTGAGTTTAAGAGGATGTTGGTGGGCTTAACGTTGCCATGCACGGACTTCTTCTCATGAATGTAGGCGAGTCCCTTGGCTACTCCTCTTGCTATCTTCAGCCTGATTTCTAGAGGAAGATGGTAGGGTGATGATCCTGCTTTTCCTGAAGTTTAGAAAACAAAATAAGCAGAAATTGTTTATCAAAATTGGAGTTGGAATATTCGGAAGAACTTAAACAATTAATAAGTTTATGATAAGAACATCCAAATGCATTAATGGACAGTATAGCTTGTAATATATATATATATATATATATGTTATGGTAAGTAAGAAGTTAGGTATCAATTGCTCTGGCACTTGAAAATATAATTTGGTTAGGAAAGTGTAAATTGTTCTCATATATAATACCTTTACTTATCCTTATGTTTTGTCTCCTGCCCTGTTAGGTATAATGGAAAGGAATTTTAATAATGGGAGTTGCCGGTAACCTTAACACAATAATTGTCCATTTTACCATAATGGATGATAAATTGACAATTACTAACAAGGTAAAGTTAAAAAAGGCAGGCAATACTATACTTACACCCCAATCTCACAAGGGGTTAATTTAGTGGTCAAAGAAATTTGCTCATTGCATTGACTTTCTATATTTGAACATTGAGACCACTTATCACATCTTGACTTACACTGTTTTTTGGGCTTTTAGGGTGTTCAAGTGATTCCAGGATTAGTTGAAGTGTACGTAAGCTGGCATAAACACCCTAATTACCAATAAAAAAAAAAAAATTCTCTCTCAACTCCGATGTTACAACTCGTAATTGGTTTATGATGAATTTTTCTACCTGACCAATTACGAACTGTCACATCAAAATTGTAAAAGAGAGCTTGTGAGCCAATCTATATTGAAAGAGGCGTAATTCTCCCACTCTTCTATTGACACATCTAATAATAATAATTTACTAATTGATAAATAATTATAATATATGCAAACACAGAAAACAAGCCTCACCAAAAAAGAAATGATTCCTATAAATGAACAAAAATGGGTAGCCTCCAACCACCATACAGAGAAGCCAATCCATTTTGGGCGCTCGGCCGGAGCCAAACGATTATAGGACCGGGACCAGTACCACTTTCAATCAAGAGATGCCTTTATCCTACCTATTTGGTTTTATTCAATCGCTGAATTAAACAAGGAATTCTTATTCAATTCATTATTTTTACAACCTTGTTAAATAAATTGCATTCCTGAGGTTAGGATAACATGTTCTGTCCAGGAATCATTTAAATTTAAGATTCAAGTCAAAGATTATAGTTTTAATTAAGAGAATAAAAAAATGGGGAAACATAACCCACATGCAGAAGCAAATGAGTAAGAAAGACTGTCTAATTTAGCGGCAAAAGATGTGGAGTTGAAGAAACTATGAGTCTGAATCGGTACAGGCAGCGCTTTTCTTACGAAAACGACACATTCTTTTGACGTATTATGTGTTTTTCCTACTTTTTCATGATTTTACTACCCTGCTTCGCGGCCTATTCAGATTCCACTTGTCTTCTTTTCACAGCTATTTCACTTTATTAGCTGCGTTTGTTTTAATATTTCTACCCTTATCTTATTTCTATCTGTCTCTAAAATATATATTTATTTCTCTGTTCTGAAAATCAAATTTTATTTTATTCAATTATTTTTAAACCTCATAGGTTTATTAAATTAATTAAACACCTCCAACAAAAAAGTTTATAAATTAACAAAATACACTCTCACTCATCTACCGATGGTTGGTATTTAATGGATGGGTAAAAATATTTTTGTTAATTTTAAAACTTTTATTATAGAGAGTATTTAACTAAATTAACAAATATAGGAGATTAAAAAATAATCTTACTAAACACATTTTCAAATTCAAATCCTATCCTCATAATAATAACCCTGACTCAACTTTTTTAAAAATACTAATAAAAATAATAAAACAAACACACCAAAAAGTATCTATCTATTAATTCAAGATAACCCATTACTCCGCCTAACACTTTCTACCCACGTATTTTCTTTTTTTTTTTTAATCACATGGTGTAAGAACAATTTACGTATACCTCAACTAATTTTTTAAAACCTTAAAACTGTGGACAGAGTAAGAGTCTTAATGGCCATTTCTACCCTCATAATTCTACATCATATATGTTATCCAAATTATTAAACCCACAAATCATAGGCTAATTTTGAGGTTGTTTTTTTTTAATTAGGGTTGAGGCTTTGAGGGTGTCCGGTAAATTTGCCCGCACATTATCTAATCTTAAAACTCTAAACCTACCGACTAGGTAAAAACTTCAATGACCACCTTTATCAACAACCATATCGACTTAAACTAGAAAAATCATATAACTAGTTCTCTTTTACTATTAAAAGGACTCGAATGTTAGATCTTCCTTTACTTTTTTATCATCAGATGAATTAGTGATGGTTTAATTTTGATGTTTTTTATTTTCTTTTGTTAATATTGATTAGATTTTTTTTTTTTTTTTCATCTAGAAATTTTTTTAGTCAATTCTAGTTATTAATTATACAAATGGTAAATTGACATATTTTTTTTTGGAAGATTTATAAAGAAAAAAATTATTATATTTTAACCCCAGAATAAAATGAATAGTGATTTATCCGAAGTCCGTGATTGAATAGTAAAAGGTCACAGTGACTGTCGACATAATCAAGAAGAAGACTAGACTACGCTAACATGCACGGAAAGAGTATGATGCACTATAGCAAAAGATATTTAAATATACTAAAATGCGCCAGATATGGAGGAGGAAGGAACTTACTGTAACCAGCAGTAGCGAGGCTGCCATTGGAGACATAGTCATAGATAACAAGCTTCTCTTCATCTCCCCAGTAAAACCCACGAACCTTAACCAAATTCGGATGCTTCAACTTGGCAATGGCCTTCACTTGGCTCTCAAAATCTTTCAATCTCTCAACACCACTCTCTCCAATCCTCCTCACTGCAAATTCAGTACCATCTCCGAGCACCGCCTTGTACATTATGCTTGAACCGCTTGTACCCAAAATATAAGCCGATGCCTTGAATAATGTCTCAAGCTCCAGCTCATTCTCCCCATCAACTGTTACCAGTATGCCCCCTCTGGCCTTTCGCTGATTAACTTTTGTGTCTTCGTTGTTGTAATTATCTTGGTCACTGTCTGAGCTCGTTGTGGCTTCTGATGTCTCTTCGCCTTGTACGGTTAGGCACGACCATGTCGCTGGTTTTTCTGTTTTTGTGAGTATTGTCTCTTGTGGCTGTTTTTTCTTTTCCGGGTTGGTTGAATCTGTTGTTGTTGTTGTTGAGTTTACGAGCCCTTTTCGCTTCTTGATTTGGTACAAGTAAAGAATTACTAGAGCAAGTAATGCTATACCCGCCAAATCCGCCACGGCTATTGTCGCTATTGTGCCTGGTTTTAGACCATTTTTAGAAGATTGATTTTGAGAGGCCGCATTTGGTGGTGTATTTTGTGAGTTTGTCACTGGAACTGAGTCCAGTGGGCGTGGTATGACTGCAATTGCGGGTGATGCACTTGAAACATTCGGTGGTGTAGAAAGAGTTGAAGGAATTGAACAAAGGTTCTTTAGTGGTTTCCCACAAAGTTGAACATTCCCGGCAAAGGATTCTGTTCTCTGATTAAGCAAAGGGGGAGATTGTGGAATGGCTCCGGTTAGGTTGTTGAAGGATAAATCAATGGTGACATTTTTGGGGATTTGTTTGGCGAATTCTGGTGATATTGAACCGGAAATCTTGTTGTAAGAAAGGTTTAAGAAACGCAAACTGTCACCACCAAAATCTAAAGGAAGTGACCCATTAAATAGATTTGACGACAGATCTAACACTTCAACTGAACTGAACCCACCTGGCAAACTACCAGAAAAATAATTACTTCTCAAAGAAACAACACTTAGATTCTGCAAAGCTGTCAAATTTTGAGGTACTTTCCCAGCCAACGCGTTATCAGAGAGATTCAACACCTGTAAGTTTCTCATTTCACCGATTATCTCAGGCAACTCGCCAGAAATCACATTGTTAGAGAGAGAGAACACCTGTAGCTCAGTAGCGTTAAAGACTGAAACAGGCAAAGACCCATTAAAGAAGTTGTTGGAAAGATCAAGATGGCGAAGGTGCTCAATAAAGCCCAAGTCTTCTGAAACTGAACCCAAAAGCTGACTGTTAGGGAGGACCAAACCGGTGACTCTGAACATATCTGCCGTACCCGGGTTTCCGATTTCAGTGCAAGTTACTCCATTCCAAGAACACGGTGTTTGGTCATCGTAGTTCCATCCTTGCAAGACGGATAATGGGTCACTGAGGACTGAGTACTTGAAAGAAAGCAAAAGAATCCCATCTGTGTTGAGAGCAAGAGAAGGAATGCCAGGAACAAGAACACAAATGAAGGCCGAAAAAAGAAGATAACTTGCACTGAAACTCATGGTATTTTGCTGAACGGATTATGAAACTTAGACTACATATTCATAGTGTGATAAAGAGGAAATAGAGAGGGTGACCAACTGCAGTTATAGTTGTTTTGGTGACCAAAAGCAAAAGCTAACTCTTCTTAATGTGTTGTTGTGATAATGGATGAAACTTTACAGCAGATGGAGATGATAACACTGAGTTGTGGGATTTTGCAGAGGGATAGAGAGAGGATAGCTGCAGCAGTACTGACTGTGAGTGGAGTTGTTGAAATGAATGAAACTTACTGAGAATAGGCAATAAAAATGGGTATTCTGGATTTAGTTGTGGTAAATGAACTTGTTTAAGTACATGAAAGAGAGAGGAGACAGGAATCTCATGTCTGCAACTACAGGACACCCAAGTGAGTTGGAGCCCATGATTCAGGTTGCAGAGAAGCCGAGTCCACCTACTGCTTTATTATTCAGACACTTGACTTAATCTGATCCCATAAGTTTTTGGTGGTTTTCATTATTAACCTTGGTGGTGAAAAATTCAACAACACAACTTTTATGGCGTCAGGACACCTTCGCTTTCAGGCTTCAGCCTTTCACAGTTTCACTTTCCTTTTTCCCATCACCCTTGAATGCTTCTAAATATTTGTTTCTGTTTGGGTTTGGATAATGACCCTCTCAAAGCAGGTTATTTTTGTACGTATATATAAAAGAACTTCTCTGTCTACGTATTTGTTACTAACACGTTTGTATATTATTGGATTTAAGTGTAAAATATTATTTTGGTTTTATAAGATGAATCCAATCATATTTAAGCATAATTTTGAGGAAATTTTATATAATGTATATATATCAAGTGAATATATACATCATATATATTTCTCAAGTGAATACATACATTGACTGAGTCAATAATAATAAAATAATTTTTATAATTTTTAATGCAAATAATTCAGTCTAATTTTTTGTCTTTTAGAACTACCTAATCCGTAATTTATTGTTGGCTACTATGGGTTACAAGATTGCATTTTTTTTTTTTTTTTTTTAATTATCATTGGCTAATGAGATCCGGGTTTTAAAAAAAATGGCAAACTTTTGTAAAAGGGACGAATCATACATATTGACTTAATTTTTTAACACTCATTGTGAATCATTCATCTTCAATAATCTAATAAAGATAAAATAATTTAAAGTGTGTGAAAATTAGTCTAGACATCTTATTTTAAAATTCAAATAAAATGTTAAAAAATTAGGTATTCTAACCCTAAAATAAATGTTGATCAATTTTTTTTTTTTTTTTAATATTATTGACGCTAGTAAACTTTTCTAATTAGATGTTTGGAATTAATTAACAGTATATTTGTAAGACAATCCATGAAGGAAAGACTACGGAACCAAGTTATGCCTGAACTTGGTGTACTAAGGAGACAAATTATCATATGAGAAAATATTAAAAAAATAAAAATTGAAAAACATGACATACTTCAATTCTATTCAACACGCCGTTTTCTATAAACTTTAATTAATTATAATAATTTTTCATTCAAATCCAATTACTAACATACAAAAATTTGAACAAATTAAAATCAATTTTCTTGTGTTTGATATATTCATTTCCACTGCTAAATAAAAAGGGAGATGGGCATTTTCAGCATTGTTGATGTGCAATGAGTAGAGGTGTGAAAAAGAATTGGCTAAAATTGAAACCGGAATCGACAATGCCTGGTTTCCAGCTTCGATTTTTACCTGAAACCGATATTATGTGGTTCTGGTTCCAATTGCACCATTGCAGGAACCAGAATCAGAATCAAAACCGATATCCAGGCATTTGGGTAGGAACGAGGACTGAACTATAATTTTTATAATCTTTTAGGGGTGTATTTGTTATTTTTGTGAATAGTAGGGGGTAATTAATTTTTCTATACCTGGAACCAAAACGAAACATGTGTTTTTGGTTTCAATTCTAGGCTTTTAGGAATCAAAACCGACCAGTTTCGATTTTGATTCCAAAACTCAAGAATTAGTCTATTCGGATTCCAATTCCATGAGATTTGGGCTGGTACAACCCCTATCAATGAGTCTGATAATTTCTGGCCTGCCAAAAGATACAAAACACAACACAACTCCCTATAGTATTAACATATCTTATCTCATAATTATCACTTAATAAAGGAGGTTTTGGGTAATCTAGACTTAAATGTTTTGGCGGGCCACATTTGGAAATCAAGAAAAATGTTTTTATTATTCCTAAAACTCCAACTCACGAGTTCAAGTAAATTGTTGTGCTTATGTTTTTTTTTTAAGAAAGAAAAAGAGATCCTCGCGGAATTTAATTCAGTAAAGGGGTAACTTTTTTAAATTAATTAAAGCATTTGATTATTATACAAGTTAGCGTGAATCTCTAAAATTAAATTCACTTAAACTTGATTTTTGTTATGTAATTAATGTAATCAAACTTAAACATGTCTTACTGTACAAAGCAATGAAATTAATAAATAATAAATAAAAGAAATTGTTTTGATTTGGGGATTCACCTACCCCTTTTCTTACCCATTTTATTGTTTTGGAATGCATTAGTTATTTGAATGTTTTCATCAATTTAATATTCAATATTCGAGTATGGGAATTTGGAGATTATGTTGAAATAATGAATGAGAAAGGGGAAAAAATTGTATTTTATATACATGAGTCAATGAGATATAGAATATTAGTAGGTAAACCAATCTCTGTGTGGTCGAATGGTTCGATAAAGAATTTTGGATGTATTATTCAAGAGGTCTAAAGTTCAACTTCCTTTTTGGTTGTTAATAAGGATAGTCATTGTTCGACAGATAGTTCTAAAGTCCCATATATATATATATATATATATATAACATACTTTAGTAATGTGAAATTAATAATTAAGTTTAAGAATGTAATTAATAACAAAAAAAAAAAATTAAACTCCTCAAATGAATAATCTTTAACTTACCATTCACGTCTTTTAAGGATTATCTCTCTTTACACGTTGAGGGACTTGGGTTATCCCACCTTAATCATTCACGTAACATTGAAGGGGCCAAATCCAATTTTTTGTACTGCCGAAAGTAAACGGTAGCTTTAACCAGCCGCTAGACGTTTTAATAATTGTATTAGAAAACAGTATTTTTATTTATTCTTTTAGATTATTTGGTTACTTCTCAAAAGTGTCTGTAAAATTTTAATAAAACATTCATATTTTATTTTATAAATTTAATTATTTTGGTATATTAAAACCCTTTATGGTAAATCAATACAAGAAAACTCTTTTACGATTGTTAGATCAAACAATTAACAAATTTTTCTTAAAAGTATAATTTCAAAAACTCTACTTTAATTAATTGTACACGAATAAACTATATTGAACAGAGCTTTCCTTTATGATCGTGTCCCTCTGGAGATGTGAGAAATTTTCAAGTAATTTTATTTTTTAATTTACAGCTAAAGTTTCCTTTGACAGTCAAAACACTGGTAAAATTTCAGTTTGAGAAGAAGAACAAAGAAGAAATTGAGAGGTAACCGGACAGTCAGTCCTTCAGTGTCTATTAACTTCAAATGGCCAACCCAACATACAGCAGTTGATTTCTTTCATTATTATTTTCTCTAACTTCCCACTATGGTTGGTGTTTGGTATCGATACCATCTAATCTCCCAATAAATTTCTACTTTTATTCTGCACTTTCCTGAGAAAGTTTCTATATGCATATGAGAACAAGATTTTACCAAACAGATATACAGAGAATAATATGGCACTGTAATTTCATTATTTTTGATGAATTTTGGGTGTTCATGACTGCGTTGTTTGAGTTGGTGATCATACAAAGACTTATGGGTATGTCATGTAAAATAAGAAGATATTTGGTATTGACTAATGAGTAAGTTAACAGTTGAAGTGGGTTGGTTATCAAACTTTCTAGCTTTACATGGCCCTAGGTTGAGCCACTTCATTAGCTCAATCAAGTCAAACTCTACTGCAATTCTATATTTATTTAAAAATAAAAAATATTCTTAAATTATAATAATAATAGTATATTGTTATTGAGTGTTATGGGTAAAGTCAAAATCTCATCTTCTTTATAAAAAGGATTGGTAAATCCAGACCCAGTGCTGTGCCTGAATAACTTTACTCTCTCTTTCTTTCACTTCACATGTTGCCTTTATTATGTTTTCTACCTGCTAGTCTTTTTATGTGTTACTCTGCTACAGCTATTCTGCACTCACCATGTTATATCTTACATCATGCTATAGTTTAGCCCACTTCACAGACACAGATAATTAGTTCATGGGAAATGATTTTTTAACACCATCAAATTAATAATTGGAGTTTGAGAGAAAATAAGTGGTTGAAGGAGATTCATTCTGTAAATTTGAGGGATATAAGAGTTCAGAGTAGAAAGGAAAGTCATTGTAAGCTATTTTAACTATCAGGAACAATTTTCTACCATTTTTTAGTTTGGAGAGAGGTTAGATATAAGGATTTGGTCAAGTATGAGTAAGAGGTTTTTTTATTTTTTTATTTTTTATGATCAAGGATGTTTGGTTAACTTACGTGCATTTTAACTAATCCACTGAAACTCTAAAATTACTGATTGGTAAGTTAGAGTTTTGAGGTTGAAGAATTGCTTTTTTCTTTAACATATTTCCAATAGAATTATGTTTATCTAATATCAGAATTTTAATTGACTTGCAGCTCTTTCATATAGAAAAACATGAAAAATGGTGTAAAAATGGTAATAGTATGTGTAAAAATAGACTTCATATTTTAATACAATTTTATCATGCGTTGGGGGCTACTGATCAAGGAGGAGTTCATCTTCTGGGATTCCAGATATCTTACTTAGTGGCTATATTATGAAAGAAAATTATTTATTTATTTAGAATTAATAGCAGATAATTCCCTATCATCCACTCAAATTCACCCTTTAAAATGGATTATTTTAACATATATCCTTATTCCGAAAAAAGTGGATCTATTGGCACCCCCACTATTGGATTGAAAAAGCGACACTGCCACACTATTTAATATTTTTTTTTAATGACAAATTTTTCTCTATCTAAATTATTATTTACAATTACTTTTGACACCATACTATTATCTCATAAACCTTTTATTTTTTTTATTATTATTTTTTTTAATGCTATTCAAATCATTTTCAAAACAATATACATATATTTAAGTGTAAAAAGAAGATTCGTAATGAGATATATCAAGTTATAAACAATACAAATTTGTAAGTTTTTAATTGCTTCACATATTTTTTTTTTAATCGAAGCATTGGTAATTATTTTAATATATATATATTTTGTGTGTTGTTTAATTGTTTTTATGTCTTTGGATTACTTTTAAGGGGGCATTTGATTGGGGGTTAAGTGGGATTACTAGGGTAATGTCATCTTATATTACTTGATTACCATGTTTAGTTGTCAAGTAATATCAGATACCGGTAATCTTCAAATACCAATAGTGATTACTATTGATAATATCAGAGGTAATCTGATTATCTCTATTTTCTTAGGTATTACGAGATTACCAATGTTATTTTTTTTTGTTACAATTTTATCCCTTATTAATAAAAGTTTTAGACAATAATACCCCTATTTTAAAATAAATTTACATTAATATCCTACTTCAATTTTACCCTTGATTAATTAAAGTTTTGGACAATAATGCCCTTATATTTAAAATTATTTACGGATCACCACTGCCACCCAGCCACCACCGCCGACAGCAGGCTAACCACCACGGACCACCGCCGAAAAATTGTCGGAGTCCCTAGTGAAGGAGAAAATTCCGTGAGAGGCTCCAGGGAGCTTCGTTATGGCCATTTCCGGCCATATTGATGGCCGAAAACGACCATATCAGGCTAGATCTGGCCGTTAATGGCCAGATCCCTGGCCATTATCGGCCAGGTCTGGGCCAGATCTGGCCTAGACCTGGCCGATAATGGCCAGGGATCTCGCCGTTAACGGCCAGATCTGGCCTGATATGGCCGAAAACGGCCATAACGAAGCCTTCCGGAGCCTCCCACAAAATTTTCTTCTTTTTTAGGGGCTCCGGCGATTTTCCGGCGGTGATTCGCGGTGGCGGCAAGCGGCGGCAGGAGGGGGGTGATTTCGTCATAAATTAAAGTTTTTTATAAGCGGGGGTGTTTTAACTAAATCTGAAATAATGGGGGTTAAAAGAAATTATTCAAAAATTAATAATAAAAATAATATTATATTAATATTGAAAAGAGGGTCAATTTAGTAATTTAAATAACATACCTACCAATTTATTCCCATAACCAAACATATTAATATAACATATCCACCAACTAACCAAACATATTTTCTTAAAGATTCCCAGTAATCTTCCAAGGTAATCTATCTTTCCAATAATCCAACATTCCTAGTAATCTAACATTCTTGAACCAAACGCCCCCTAAGGACTTTCTAGCTTTATTTTTTCTGAACTTTCAATAAAATTATCTAAAATTTTATTTTAGGAATAACGATGGTTAGGTGTATATAATATAAGTCAAAAGAATGAAATGTTAAATCTTTTTAAAATGTATATAAAAAAAATGGAATGAAGGGCATTTATGAAATTTAGGGGATGCCATAAGAAAAAAAATAATTTAAAATTTTAAATGGCGTGTTTTACGAAATGGAACTTCATTAATCCACTAGTGGGGTGCTAAATGCTAATAACTCCACTTTTTACATAAAAAATGGAAAAAAAAATTTGTCATGAGTGTTAGAGTCAATCATAAAGTATGATTGGATCTTATCGAAGCTTGGGCTGAATAGGCCCACTAGGAGTGGTCCCACTAGCTTGGGCTGGACTTGGGCTGAATAGGCCCATTAAGAGTGGTCCCACCCGACCCAGCACCCAGTCTCGTAAATCGGTAAATGTACCATGAAGAGTTCCTTGAGTATTGTAGCTTAGCTTTAACTAACTGTTTCAACTTTCAATCGTTAAACAAGATTGTAAATTATGCAAACGCTTTTGTTGCCGCCCACCGCTCGCTCCGGCATCCTACCGCCGGTGGTGGGGCTGTTTCCTTCCCACCGCCGTGCGCTGTCCTTTAATATCGCTAGTAATGTTGGTTTGTGTTCGCCAAATTGTCTCTCCTCTGTCAAAACCCTTCAGTCTTCTTCTAATTGTGGAGGATCAAGATACTCATTCGCTAAACTCGCTTCGTCTCCGGTCACACCTGCTTTTACATCTCCCATCGACGAGTCGGAAAAGGCAAAACTTGCTCAGGTTTGTTTACCCCTTCTCGCGTATTTTATCTTCGGTTGCTTAGAAAATGTGGAAAATAAATAAAAATTGTTTCTTTTCTTTGTTGAAGCCTCGGTTAAGCATAATTCAAGTCGTGTTTGGCTTGGTTAGATGTTTAATGATTAACTTACAGGGACACCGGACACATATTTGATAGAGTAATACTACACGATAAAGTTTGTCTCCCAGTAATGTATGCATGTGGCGTTCATTTAAAAAATTAAAACATGGAAATAATGTGGAAAATAATATGGATGGAAATTTTTATGATTGCCAGATTGTTAGAATGATAACAGTTGGAATATGTACTTGGTATGCTTTGTATATTACTCATTTAATTAATATAGAAAGAGATATTGTTAGTAATGTTACCATTTTGGTGTTGTAACTGGCTTGGTAATCTACCATAGCCCTCCCCCTTTGTTACAATAAAAACCCATGAAGAAACAGAGCAACATGTAATTTGAGTAACCAAATGAGGTGTAAAATTTTGATGGAGAAAGTTAGTGAGTTATCCAGTGCATCGATTTTGATTTCTTGTCAAGATTTTTGTACGTGGTTATTTGACTTCAGTTCATTTTGTAATGCAGTTGTTAAGCATTGTTTATGTAGAGTATAAGTCAAGTAATGCTCACTGTGTTGATTCTGTCGGTACTTTTTAGGGTTTACGAGATGTTTGTGAACTTAGTGATGTAACTTGCATGCATATTGAAAAAGTCTTAAGAATTTTTTGTTCTTTTTCCAGGGGTTTTGGTTTTCTAAATGTAATATTTTTGTGATGTGGATTTAAGAGTAATTATTTGGATATGTATGATAGAGGTTTTTTTTATTACATCTCTATAATAAGTTTAATTTCTTGTTAGGGCATTTCGTTTTACTACATTTAATACCCAATTTTTGTGAATGTTTAACTAAAATGAAGATTTTGCATTTTAAATGCTGCAGGTTGCAAAGAGATTAGTGAACACATCGAGGAATTTCAAGAGGTTGGGTAGTTTAGGGTTTTGGGGACAGCTAGTGTGCACTGTGGTGGCTGCAGTGATTCTGTCTTTTTCTATTGTTGTTACTGGGAAGATCACGTCGCCTGCCAGCTTCTATGCCACTGCTGGTGGTATTGCAGCTGCATTTATTTCAGTGTTTTGGTCATTCGGGTATATTCGGCTTTCTGAGAAGCTTCGGAAAACTGCAAGTGACCCTTCTAAGGTATGTTATATTGTTGTAGTCACATGGCAATGTAATGTTCTTCTCAAATATTTAAAAAAAATAAAGTTCTGGTTTGTTATACTTACTAAATTAGCACTAGTCTCAAGGTATAGGGTTACCATCGATGATATCCAACATTCCCTGTCACTTAACTGAAGTAAATATTCCTGCTGGTCATAGCTCAGCTTTTACCCTACTGAAGAATTTTAGCTTATTTGGAATAGATAGTTGTGTTTTTTTATGGTCTCATAAAGAGGGGTTAATTAAACTGGAAACAAAGAAACTTAATTCAAGCAATATTACTGTGGGAAGGGTCAAATACTATCTTTCAGCTTTCTTGTAGTACACTCTTATTTTTTCTTGTTGCAGTTTGTATACTAGTCTTTATTATTTAGTGCAATCTTATTATCTAAGAAAAGTGTTTGTCTTTGTTTGGGCTATTATTATTTTTATTATTGGTTGGTTTCTTGCAGTAATAATTGACATTCTTTCATTAAATTTGAAAAATCCAAATATCCAATAGTTTTAACAAATCTTCAGCTTGCGTTTTGATGGAAAGACATTTGGAGTTATGTTATCATTCGTATTCTGTTTTGTAAGACCTCCCACAACTATGATTGTTACTTTCTTAAGGACTTATAGTGACCAGGCATATTTCTTTGTTGAGGATGATTTTCTTAAAGTGCGTTACGGTGGTCAACAGGAGCTGTGTTATCTTTTGTTTCGGGCTGTGTGTTTCCTTTGTCTCCCAACAGATATGTTCATATCTTATTAGATGTCTACACTGAAAGAATCACTTATTGAGCTCTGACTAGTGCTTGTTACTTAAGTTTGATGCATATGAAGTTAACAGGGTCATGCTTCTTAAGTATTTCACTGAAGTTTATGAATTTCTGAGGTTTCAGGCTCCACCTCGTGCTGATGTGGTGAGAAGCTTGAAAAATGGCATAGTAGTGAATCTTCTGGGAATGGGTGCTGCTATTCTTGGAATGCAAGCCACCGTGGGACTGCTGGTCGCAAAGGCTCTTACTTCCTCAGCTAATCCATATTACCAGGGAGTCCCTCCTGGCTACAGTCCTGTTTTGGCATTGGATGTATTCCTTGTGCAGGTACTATTGACTTCAGACTTATGATACCTCTTTATGTTAATTCTGGAGATTTTGGGTTGTCTTATTGTGTAGATCAGTCTGGGATCAATTAATTTCTACTCCGTTTAGAATTCATTTAAACAGAAAAAGAAGAAAAATGATCTAAAATTAATTTCGGTAGTCCTTCTTTCAAGCTTAATGTTTTGTTTTATATTCCATACCACTAAAAAGTCCTACTGCCATTGTCCTGAATTTGGGCCTATTGAAAATTCTCCAGAAGAAACAGAATTCGAATAAATCATATAGGATTTAAGAGAAAAATAAAAGAGTTTTTGATGGAGTCGTTTGGCATTATACTGCAGTATGAAAAGCTTTGGTCCAGTGTTTCAGGTTCAAGGAAAATCATTGCAGCCTTTTTATTTTCTTGTTCTATATTGGAAAAGAAACAATGATTAAGAAAAATTCTGTTCGTTTTAGTCCTACAGAAGTTATACATGCTATATCACACCTTTTTTTTTTTTTTTTTCTCTGTGTTGAAGTAAGGGGTTATTTGTTCATGAGCCCAGTGATTCACTGGGTCAGCGAAATGGTTAAATTAAGACAAGGATCTCTCAATTCATCATGAACTGAATTGCAGATCCAAAGGCAGCCAATTTATAATTTTTGCCAATTTATGTATTCACTTAGCCCCTCTCATATGCATACATGAATACACATCATTATAGTATCGTGTTACTGTTAGTATTTATGTCTTCTCCTCATCTATCTGTGCTATGCAGGCATCGGCAAACACTACCTTTCTCATTTTCTGGGGCTTGTTTTCTCATTGGAGCTGTTGGGTCAGTGACACACCAGCTTCAGAAACCATACCAGTTCCCAAGGTTGCATGATTTCTGACCCTCGGTTAATCAGAGAGTGTGGATGCTACAAGTAGAAACTTGATTTTGAAGCTTTAATTGTTGGGAAGTGGAATGTTGCTGAGCTCATATATATTTTCAATTTTGCAATTATATTTATCTCATGGTTAGAAAACAAATGCTTTAATATTTCTAACTTTAAAGTAGGAATTGAAGGTTTCTGCATTGCTGCACAAAAGAAATAAATTTCTTCAAGAATCATTCGACAGTGTTGCTCTCTGTTCCTGAGTTCATCGCATATACCAAACAAACGTAAAAAATTCAGTGAACCTGGCTCCAAAGTTTCTACTAGATCAATTGTTACATATTCATTATTTTCATCACGCCATATTTCATTTCGGTAATCATGTTACGCCAACAGCATGAACGGTTGTGTGACACTTAGCAACTAACATCATCTGAAAAACAGTTGTTCCTTTTCATTGGTTTGCAATATTCAAGAATTTAATTTGCATGATAAAACACGCATTAAAATGGCACATAGAATGGAAATTTAGAAACTCAATATTATAACCAAAATCTAAATTTCCCTCTCCCCAAGCAGAGGATTTCGTTCAAGTGGAAATGGCAATGTAATCACATGATTTCAAGAACTGCATCCAAGAATATTGATTCTACATGGAAGGTAGAAAAATGGCATGTTCTGCCAAAGGTAAATGCTAAAGTGGTCAGCCCAGATCATAAAAGACTATCATATTAACTGGCATTTGATGTGAAGACTGAAAGCATCCCACCAAAAAGAATCAGAAAAGTTTCAAAGTTAAAAACCAGTTCCAAGCTCAAATCCAATCCAATGAATTCAGTTTCATGAATCAATAGTCACCTGCATCAAGTACGCATTATGCTTTAGTCCAACTCCATAAAAAATTAGATAGTTAAAACCAGCTAAAAAGGATGGAAACTCGTGAAAGTGAAACAAACACAAGAATGGCATTCATGGATTCAAAGGTAACAAGCTTGTGATTGTGACATGAGATACACAAATGGCAATGACAAATAATCAATTCATGTGGATGAATATGTCCAGTCATAACGAATAATTCTAAGCTTCCTGACAAACAACTTGAATTAATAAGGTTATCACATGTTAGAGGAGACACTACGCCATAATAATAGGAAAAAATAAATAGCTCTATTTCCTCATCAGTGGTAGTTACTAAAAAAAAACATCTGTTTAGTTCTTTGTAAAGATCCAATGGACATTAAACATTTCAAACATGTTGAATGTCACAGCATGTTTTAACACTAAAATATAGCCCACTTTGAAAAGACGTTTTTTTGAACACAAAACTGTGTATAATTAGTAAAAGAAAATCCAAGATCTACAATGGAACCTGAATTATATCCTCAGATCCTCATTATAACCACATCAATACAAGGAAAGATAGGAAAGGAAGTAAATTTTAAAATCTCATGAACATTACAACTGCTAGAATAGAGTCATTTACCATACCAAGACTTTAATAATTTGGCATCTTAGTAACCAAGGGGCGTGTCATTGTTATAAGCTCAGTAGATTCTTACTACTATAACTGAAGTACTGTGACATATGACATGCAACTATTCATGGATGAACAGTCTTTTAAAATGGAGAGATGACAACTGCAGAAAAAGCACTCAGTTTTCATACATTGTAGTATGCACCATTTACAAACTGAGCAACTTAAAGAGCAAGAGAAGCAGACTTGCCTAGTGAGTCTTCTTTTCTTTTTGGGGCAATGGAATCTTTTTTAGGAGGTTATCATCAATTTTCTTGTATTGTGTTTGAATAACTCTATGTGTTTGGCACAACTTTTATAATGTGGTCTTGGTACTTGTATAAAGCACAGGCACAGACAAACTAAGAAGAACCCCTGCAAAAGAACCAAAAAAAAAAAAAAAAAAAAAAAAAAAAAAAAACAGAATTGTAAGCAATTCTTGAAAATCTTATAGAAACCATGACAACTAGTTAGCAAAGGACTCACCAATATAGATGAGAGTGAGAAAGTTGAAGAGGCTACCAATATAAGATACCAACAACAACACAAAAGCAACCTAATGAAAAACCCACATCACAAAGAAACCATTTCAATTTTTCTCTTGTAAAAAAGTTAAACAAATCCAATTTCTCACAAGAAGAACTTAGGAGAATCAGCAGCCAACCTGAAGGAAATTTTTCAAATTCCTACCCACAGCAATATCATGTGCAATCGACAATGCATAATTGACCCAAGCTCGCACCTCATCAGCAGCCTTTGCAACAGACTGATCTGAAATTTCCAGATCAGGGATGGGAGGCAGAGGCCTGAATCACAACATTACTAACTTTCATAACTTAAACCACACATGTCAGTGTCCAATTTCAACATCAACTTCCCGCCCAAGTCAACGACTTACATCTAAAGACCCGAGAAATTGAATACTTGCTAACAATGATCCATAATAGAGAAAACTAGAGGATGTATACAAAGCATAAATTGTAAAAGGAGGATTAGAACTAATTACCTATTGAGAAGGGAAGCAGATTTTCCCCAGAGGAAGAGGATTGAGACGAGAAGAAGCAACACGTTAGAAACAAAAGATAAGAGATTATAACCAGCTCGCTCAAAGAGGAACCACAAAGCTGTTGCCGAAGCTAGCAATACGATCCCTCCACAACATTTCTTCCACAATAGTGTATCAGCAACTACTCAAACACAATAAATCATCATTAATTCAAAGCATTATTTAATAAACAAGAAAATCAATGAAATACTCAAAGCATTTACACGAACATGTTCTTCCATATACAACTGGCCGAATTTCTAAAGTCACTTTGATAACATTTAACAACAAACAGACAGATAACAAGTTCAACGCCACTAATGTAAATGTCGTACTTGTAAATTACCATGAACTGCTCCAGTAACGTTAATGGTTTAGAGATTCAACAAGAAATTGAATAACTCAATCGTAACAGCAAATCAAATCGATTAAAAATCAAAATTATGTCAATTAGAAATTCCTTTTCGAAGAGCATAACTGGAATAAACAAAAAACAAAAGTACATACGTATCTGTACACATGTACGTATCTAAAGGGAGAGAGAAGGGGAGAGAAAATACCTAAGCCACCGCCGAGAGATTGATGAACAGATAAGCGATGAAAATCTGCCATGGATATGAAGGTTTTAGGGTTTCTGATTGAAACTGAAACGTCGGGGAAAGGAAGGAAAGGGAAGGGAGGAGGAGGATGGAAAGACTAACGAGGAAGAGTTGATGTTGACAAACAAACGGAAGCCAAGAAAGGTCTCAAGAGTTGAGTAAATTCAACTGGGCTGACTTCAAATTCTACGATTCCGACTTGGCCCAACAGAGGGCCCAGAAGCATTTATTATGTTCTTTATATAATGTTGCATTTATCATTTTAGTTTATCAAGTGATTAATGATAAGATTGAAATGAAGAAACCTGTTAACTAAAGATAAATAATAGTGTTTATGTTTTAATAGGAGTCCTTATTTTATTCTAGACAGAGTTTTTTTTTTTTTTTTTTTTTTAATAACCAAAGGTGTTCGGACTAAAATACGCACATCTCAACTAATCTCTTAGGACTCCAAAATTATCGACTAGATAAGAGTTTCACTAGCTACCCCTATTAGCAATCGAAAAAGAACTCGAACTCAGGACTTCTTAAGTAATACACCCAAGAGTCCCTATTAACTCATTCGGCCATTCCCAACTTACATATTATTATTTTTGTAATTTAACTTGTTTATTTTAAACATACTAAAGTATGCAAATTATAAAATAAGGTAGCCTTGTTTTTTAGTAGTGGCATTCATGTTAGGAGCACTACTGTTTTGATACTTTCTCCATATGAGAAGTCCAAAGTTTCATGTTGGCATTAAGGCATACGTTAAATAGTGACCCCTCCATCCATGGTTTCAAATCAGGTGGGATTCGTCAAATCTGGCTGCCCTCATCTGATCAACCACCATATCTACCCACTGTCTATTAATAAGAGTATAAAGCATTACTCAATTTAAACATGCAATATTCCTTGGCATAAAATAGAAAGTAGGTGATTTCTGGCTCTAAGTCGATGCGCAGTAACATCAAACTGTGCCAATACACTGGTAAACAGAATAAACATGCTCATTACACTTGGCAGAAGATGACCATGACATCAATAATATCTTACACAGAATCTGACGGTATAATAGTAACTGGGGATGCACAAAAGCTGTTCACTCAGCAGAGCCAGAGCACCAAATCTGTGATCAAATCAACTATACCATTTGTTTTTTCATTTCCTTCTGACAGTACACTTCACATGTGATAAGCGAACCAATTTTGAGTAAATATCATAAACTAGGCTATAGAAGCCTAAATCACATGATGTGATATGGCCCAGTGCATCTCTAATGCCCACGGAAAACCAACCTTTTGGAAATGGCTGGAAAATTGATAGTGTCCGCATTGCTTTTCCTCATTTTGCGGCTTCCTTATCTTTATCAGAGTCCCCTTCATCACCATCATCTGATGAGTCTTCTTTCTGTTGCTCTTCCCCGCCACTATTCAGTTTGGCCTTTTTCTCTTTCTTCCTCTGCTTTTTCTTTTGGCGTTTTGAACGCTTATTTGCTGTCCGTTCCTCTGCCACTTTCAGTCTTTCTTCTCTTCTCATAATGAACTCCGCCTCTTCTTTCCTTTTCTGGTAGTCAGCATCCATCCTAGAAAGCCGGTCTTGCTCTTTTCGTCTCATTTGACGATACTGTCAGCAAGCACAACTTGAATTTAAAAGCCTTGCAAGTAAAATGTAAAAAACTTAAGCTAATCTTTTATTCCTCTGACTAATTGTAACCAAAAATATCTTTCGTCACATGTTATACCAACAGCCAAACCGCTAGTGAGAGGAAAGAGTTTAATGTATCAAACCGCAATCCTTTGACACCTAAAAATGGTTAGAATTCCTATGCATCCTCCCCCTAATCATCAAACCAACTTCCACTTTAGCATCTTACACAGAATAAGAGACAAACTTATCTGGAAACACTAACTTCTGCGGAAATATTGGTCACACTATAGCTATTCATCCTACCAACTCGCAATCTTAGACCAACCACACACATACTTGTGTTCAACAATTTATTTCTTTCCATGCATAATCACTTGGCCTAACAGTCCAATATATGAGGCATAGATGGTGCAAACATCAACATAGCACTCCTAAGGTATCTATACTACCCAAAATTCTAATCTGATGAATGGTCTTAAATTGCTCCACAATAGACCCATACAAAATTCCTTCAACATTGTATCATTCAGTCCTCAAACTTGACCATATGCTCCATTAGGTAACATCAAATCATTAACAAATACCACACATGAAGATTGTGTTTAAACCCAGGCATATATAAAAGAATCATGCATATATTTGCAGCATTGCAGCTAGGAGCATGATCAATTAAAATTTAGCAAAGCCTATAAAGAAAGTACCAGGAGTTCATAGTTTTTCAATTCTTCAAGGCCCAGTCACAGTGATGTAATTTGTCAAATATGCCACAAGTATGGACGTGACTCGAAATTATAGTCGCCATTGCAAACAAATTAGTAAATGCACGTTAATTTCTATACCGAAAACTTGCAAAACATATAACTCGAAAAAATAAAAGCAGGAAACAAATAAATGGTCGTTCATTAAAAATATACGCTAAACAATAACGACATACCTGGTGGAAGTCTCCGGAGCCGGAACCGGCAGAACTTCCGGATGTGTTGCTAACACGGACAGGCACATTTTCCATGATGCGGCGGAGCTTAATCTCGATGTCTTCTTCCTCCTCCTTGAAAACCGGCCCCGTGTACTCTACAAGCGCCGTCGATGCCGCCGCCGGCTTCGACTTAGCAGCCATGGCGGCCAGCTGTGAGTCCCCGTCCTTAGGTTTTCTCGTCGACATTTTATAACAAAACCCTAATAATCTGAAATTCCAGGTTTTTCGTTTCAACTAAAAGGAAACATGGCCTTGAGTCCTTGACGGGTTTAGTTAATTGAGAATTGAGGATTGCAGAATAGAAGTTTATTTATTTATTTATTTTTTGCTTTTCGGCTGGGCTCTTCAATGAAATTTCCTTGGGTCGGCTTTATCGTGAAACAGATGGTGTTACATACACCCCATCAGATTCTAAGTTCACCACTTTCTCCATTTAAGGTTCTAAATTTATTTCGGATGACAACTTTCACACTAGTTATCAAATAGATCCTTAAAGTTTGAAAACTATATCACTTACACCTTAGTGATACCTCTTTATCCTAACTCTACTATGTCCCCATTAGTGTTAGACATCTCCAATAGTGTTTTTTATTTTAAAGAGCATATTTTATATAAATAAAGAGTATCTTCATTCATTTTTAAATATAAAGAACAAATTTTTTATTCAAATTCAATAGACTATTTAAATTTAATAAAGATGTTCATTTTTTTAAAGAAACAGACTTAATAGGAGAGAGAATTAATAGATAAAATGTATAAAAACTTGTAGTTTATTAATTAAAATTAGGATAGAGAGTGAAATTTGACTCTCTAGATGTGGAGAGTCAAACTCACTTTTTAATTTATATGTAAAGGATAAAGAGTCTATTGGACTCTTGTTTTTATGGATAATCTCTTTATAATAAAGAGTTTGAGTAATATAAAGAGTCATTTGGAGATGCTCTTAGAGGGATAAAATAGTAAGTTTAGTCTTATAAGAAAGTGTTTTGAAATTTTCTTAAAGAAATTTCAGTGTTGAAAATTGAATCTTGGATGAATAGAAGGAATGAATATTTTCTATTTTTCAATATCATCTCTTATTCATATTATTATTTAATTATTTAATTTTTATTATTATTATTTTATCATAAATTCATAATGGATTCCCGAAATGATGCATTTGGAGGATCATCTCCAAATGAGTTTTACGTTTCATCCACCAAAGAAATGGAAGGGTTCAATCATTTTCACCCTTTTATCCAGAGGCAGCAACTGCAATTCCACAACGACCTTCAGCTGGGATGAGGTGTAGCCAAATACATGCGAGCTGCGAGTCAACGGGCACATGCATAGCCCAACCCCCTCAACCGTTAAAGAGGGTCGTGTCCAATGTATGGTGACACTTCACCAAATCAAAACGGCCAAAGACAAATGGGGAGGGGGAAGAATCGTGTGGGGTATGTAACTTCTGTGGAACCATTATTGGCACTTGGATGGGGGGAGGGATAAATAACCCTAAAATCTCTCATTTTTTCCACACCACTCAATCTGTCATTCTCTCAATCTCTCTACTCTCTACTCAAAATCTCCAATCAAATTCTCATTCAATTTATATTTATAATTTATTCATGTAATTTAATTATATTATTCAATTTTTTATATTTTTCAATATAATCTCTTATTCATATTATGATTTATTTATTTTGTCATTTTAATTATTTATTATTTTATCATAAATTCACAATGGATTCCCGAAATGATGCATTTGGAGGATCATCTCTAAATGAGTTTAACGTTTCATCCATCAAAGAAATGGAAGGGTTCAATCCATTTCCACCATTTCCTCCAGAGGCAGCAACTGCAATTCCACAACCACTTTCGACTGGGATGAGGTGTAGCCAAACACATGCGAGCTGCGAGTCAATGGGCACAGGCATAGCCCAACCCCCCTGACTGTCAAAGAGGGTCGTGTCCGATGTATGGCGACACTTCACCAAATCAAAACGGCCAAAGACAAATGGGAAGGGGGAAGAATCATATGAGGTATGTAATTTATGTGGAACCATTATTGGCATTGAGAAGGGGACTTCGATGATGTGACGACACTTGGAGAAGAAGTACCCCCAAATAATGCAGCTGCTCGGTACATCTTCAACCAGATCAGGTAGACAAATTCAAACTCAACTTAATTTTAATCCACAATCCTCAACTCTCTCAACATGGCAATACAATGCACATATTGCACGAGAGGAAATAGCAAGATTCATAGTTGCTACGGACTCTCCTATTTGTTTATCTGAAAATCCTTATTTTATTCACATGATTAAAACTATATTTTGTCCAACATATACCTCTGTTACTAGAAATACAAGTAGAAGAGATTTTAGGAATATATCTATTTACTTACATCAGACATATGAGCTTGTAGATCAAAAATTGATTTTTTAACTGTCATAGTACATTTCTTAGATCATAATAGGGGTTTACAACAAAAATTGATGGGTTTTAAACCATTATATGAAAAACATAGTGCTGAAACTATTTATTTTACAATTCTTGAAGTTTTGCAAGAATATCTACTAATTGATAGAGTTGTAGCGCTAACGCTTGATAATGTAGCTGCTAACACCACGACAATCTCTTTATTTGAAAAGAGATTGGATCTGCGTGGTGAAGGCAAATTTTTTAACCAGAGATGTGCTTGCCACATCATCAATTTGATAGTTAAAGTAGGTTTAGATGCTATACATTCGAAGATGAAGAGGGTGCACGCAGCTATCAGATTTATCGTCACCAGTAGCAATAAAAGATGACAAGAGTACGTCAAATATTGTAAGCAAGAGGACCCTCCAGTTCGACCTTTGAAGTTATGTATGGACATGCCTATCTGTTGGAACTCCACCTACTTGATGTTGGAAAAAGCTTTGTCAACAACAAAACAAATTACAGATTTCGTCAACCGGAAGCACTATCCAGATGAAGTTGTCATCTATGATGATTGGACGGTTTGTGAACTTTTTTATTCATTTCTTAAATTTTTTTATGATTCTACTAATACATTAAGTGGTATTTATTATCTGACTACTAATTTAGTATTAGATATTTTACTTCAAATTGCTAAAACTTTTGCTAAATATAGATATAATAACGTTTTAAGGGAAATTGTTTCAAAGATGGAAGAAAAATATGAGAAATATTGATTAGATATTCCATTCTTATATGGATTAGGCCTTGTTGTAGATCCTAGGTTTAAATTACACGTAGTTAACTGCATAATTACTAAGTTAGGCCAGCATTTAGGACATGATTATACGTCTTATTTGACTAACTTTAAACAAAAATTGGATAGCCTTTTTCTTTATATGAGAACAAGTACAATGGAAGTGGAAGTGGAATGTTTAGGAGAGATGATCAGGACCTTGATGCAAACCTCCGTCAAGGATCGAGCAAGTGGACGTATATGGAACATGACGGAAGTAGTAGCTCCAGCTTGTACATACATAAACCAAATGAGCTGAATCGCTATCTACAAATGGACCTGTCCTTCATGACGATGAAGGAGAAACATGACATGGATATTCTTCAATGGTGGAACCAACATGAAAGTCGATTTCCCATTGTAGCCCAAATAGCACGTGACATTTTATCTGTGTCGGTTTCTACAATTGCATCTGAGTCAACATTTTCAATGAGTGGCCGGATTGTTGAAGACATAAGATGTTCGTTAACCGATGAGATGATTGAAGTGATAACGTGTTTGCGTGATTGGACTCATGTAGAAAGAAGACTACAACAGCACCCTGAAGATCCCGAACTACTCGAACTCTTTAAGAATACAGATTTGAATGATGTAAATATTGTTGACGATGAAGATGAATAATTTAATAAAAAAAATTATTTAATTGTTTACTTGTGAAATATGAATGTGTGAAATATGACTATTACATTTATGTTAAAATTAACTATTAATTTATTATTTTTTAAAATTAATTAAACTTTTAGAAACTTACTAATCTACCCCTAAAAAATACTCAAAACCCCTTACAAAATTTCATTTTGCCCCAAAATATAAAAAAGGATTAGGGGGAAAAAGAAATTTTCCAGGCCCATAGGACCCGAACCGGTCCTAAAATTGCTCATGTCCCAGGACTGCTTGGGACTGGTCCTTGACCACCTCTATGCCAAACCATTTTTATTATCTTTAAAAAAAGATTGAATCATTGTTATTAGCTTTTGAAAAATCCACCGTTTAAATTACTATTGGTAATTCAAAAAATATGCTTAACAATGTTTAATTGAAATAATATGCCTATTTAAATTTTTATTGCTTATTCAAAAAATTGCCGAACCATTGTAATATGCCGAATAATTTGTATTATTCGGAGCCATTGTAATATGTCTAACCATTGTTATTATCTTTAAAAAAATTCACCATTTAAATTACTGTTACCTATTCAAAAAATATGTTGAACAATATTTAAATTTTTATCATCACACACATTTTGGTTTTCCTTGTTTTTTGGTTTTCACAGAACAGTCAGTAGTAGTAAATTGGCCATAGCTTGGTCAGTAAAAATCCAATGGATGAGCGATTTGCATATTTAGAAAGTATATAGATAGGGCTTTAATTTGATATATTATACTCTGATTTTGGATAACTGTAGACCTGCTTCCGAATCATTCATTTTATAATCATAGCATAATATGTCGATCATGACATATTTCATCATATGGCTCAAATGGGCTTGGGTCTTCATCAAATGGATCAAATGGTTACAATGGGCCTGGATCTTCCAGACAAGGCAAGCCCAGATTTTATTGTGACTATTGCAAACGCCGAAATCACAATCAGGATCACTGCTGGAAGCTTCATGGGCACCCCACCAAGGACAAAAATGGCAACATCAAGTGTCCCACAATTCTTTAGGAGATCCTGTCTCAACACCCTTGATCAGCCAAGAGCAATACACTTAGCTTCTACAAATGCTGAACAACACCCTTCAGACATCAAAATCCTCTTACATAGGTACATCTTATTGTCTTAATCTTATCACAAATGATGCTTGGATAATTGATTCAGGAGCTAGTGACCATATAATTTGCAATCCAAAATTTTTCCATACACATACCATAAATACCACTGGTACTTCCGTCTGTATGCCAAATGGCAACATTGGCCCTGACACCCACATAGTAACTGTTTATTTAACATACCATTTAGTACTTAAAAATGTACTATGTGTCCCGACATTTCATTTCAACCTTATTTCT